CTCCTACAGGGGGGTGCTGGGCGACCTTATATGTGAATATCTCTCTATATATACACACATATATATATACATACATACATACATACACACAACAATGCTAAAACATAGTCCAACACACGTACCCCAACTATTTTTAACGATGTGAACATTCCTCCTATAGAGGGACGGGCCCGACCTAAGGCTACGGCCCGTCCCCACCTTCTTCTGGGCGCGGGCTAACCTTGCCATCGCTCGGACGTCCATTCTCCGTGCATGTTTCGGCTTCGTGCGCGACTTCCTTGGCTCGGTGACCCAGGATGCTTCTCGATAATCCCCGCCGCGAAAGACTGCACACGTCCGAGCGATGCCAAGTAACGTCGATGAGGGTTCGGTGGATCGGGTACCTGGGCGTCAGATCCATGGTTTGGCAAGGGCCCCCCCCAAACCATGAGGCCACTGCCGCCTGCTTTGGAGACGCAACACGCAAATCTCGCATGAAAACGGGATCCGTTGCTGATCCATGCGCCTGGATCCATGCGTGCGTTTCTTTGATTCTTGGAAGAGGCTCGAAAGAGAAGGTCGACTCAACTCCCCCCCGGAGTCCTCCTGAAACAAACTTCTCAGAACAACATCCTCCCGCTCATGCTCCTTCCCCCTCACCCTCCTCCTCCTCCTCCTCCTCCTCCTCCTCCTCCTCCTCCTCCTCCTCCTCCTCCCCTTCATCCCTCCCCTTACTCCCTCCCCCAGGGACACGCACACAACAACAAAAAATCACGACCAGAGCTGTCGATCCAGAGCTCATCTCCTGCTTCTCCTGGACGGCCATGCGATCCGCACGTCGTGAAAAATCACGACCAACGATTCTGCGCCAACTCTGGCTCGGAGACCTTCACAGATCGATCCGGCACGGGAAGCGCCGCAGGAAGATTGGAACGAGGGCTCTGGTCGTGACGGTCCACGTCGGGGGCCTCCTCGAGGGCCACGGCGACGCTGGCGGCCAAAAGGCGTCGTCAATGGCGTCAGCGGCGACGGCCGGCGGCGGCGGGCGGCGGCGCGCGGCGGCGGCGAGGGGCGGCGGCGGGCGGCGGTGGCGGGCGGCGGCGACCGAGCGGCGGTGGCCAGGCGGCCGCTTGCCGCCTCGCGGACGCCGGAGTGCCAGGCGGAGGGCGGCGCCGCGGCGAGCTGCGGCGAGCTGTGCGGCCGGGCGAGGCCTGCGGCGCGCGCCGGGGGCGGTCGTCGCAGAGGGCACCGCCGCCGCGGCCTGCCGCGCTCGCCTTGGCCTCGGTCGTGGCCGTGGCCCCCTACAGGCGGTTTTTGAACGACAAATCAAAAATGCCCCAAACAGATTCATAGATCATATATTTTTTTGATCGTCCCAGACTATTTTTGGACTATTTTAAAATACTCCTCATGTAGAGGGACACGCCCGACTTGAACCGTGGCATTGGTCGTGGCCGTGGCCCGTGGACGCCGACCCCTCCACTGGAGCGACGATCCAAATCAGGCTTTGCGCGAGATGGCACAGCGACCTTGCACGGTGGCTTACAAAGGCCACCTGCGCGGCACACCACATTTTGGAGGCGAGGCCGCTCCCGCGCGACCTTGCGCGGGCAGCTTGCGCGCGGCAGTCGATGAAGACGGCCATGCTCTCCTGCGATACCCACTTGGATGACCGCGGGGGTCCTATGGTGATAAGGGCTTTGAGCGGATGCGAAGATACGTTATAGGTGGCCTGACATAAACTAGCCTATGAGCGGGGCGCATCAGGGAACGATGTGGGCCAGGTGGGCGAGGTCCACTTACCAGAGCTCTCTAACTCACTCATACGCTAGGTTAGGCCAGATACAGCCTACCTTCACAACCACTCATAATCCCCATCTGCTTATCAACCACTGCGGTGGTCCAAGCAGACCCCTCTCGCGTCGTGACAAAAAAAAAAAAAAAAAAAAACACGGCGGGAGGCTGCCCGCTATTTTGGGCCGTCGTCAGGACCTGGGACCGTTCAAAATGACTCAGGACGAAAAACGGGCGCAGGGGAAAGTGTGGGGACTTCCGGAAACTCCGCATTGAAACAATCAGTGCATCGGATCTCTGGGTCGCCGCTGCAGCCGTCCTCGCCGTGATCGTCTTCGTCTTCCTCGTGGTCGTCGTGCTCGCTGTCGCAGTCGCGGTCGGCGCCGCGGATCGGTCGGCCAATCGCGCGTCGACGTCGCCGTCGTCGCCGCCGCTAGTCGCCGTCGCCGTCGCCGTCGCCGCCGCCGATTTCCCACTAAGGAGGCCGTCGGCAAGGCCACCGCCGCGGGATGGAGGGATGCATTGGTCGACTCGGGAGGACGTCAACTGTGCACCAGCACCAGCGCCGATCCCGGTTGGGCCAACTCCAAGTCTGAGATCGCTGTACAGCGAACCCGCATAGTAAGGACGCGCGGTAAGGATGAAAGGGCCTTTGAGGGCCATATTGAAGTTGTGCGGATGAGGTTTGCCAGAGAAAGTTACCAAGGATGGCCCGAAGAGACAAGCATGCAAAGGTGGCCTTGGAAAGTCGCTCATCCTGACTGTGCGGGTTGACTGTATACGCCTGTCTAGACCTCTCGCGTCGATAAGACACGAAAAGACTTGTTTGCTGGATCTTAGGCGCCTGGACCGTCAACGAAACGACTCGGGACGAGAAGCCCGTCGTGGGGAAGGGTGGGAACCGCGCGTGCATTCAAGGCCACGCTAACGGCGATGTTGCTCAACGGTGCTGCTGAGAACCAGCTTGTAGGAAATTGCGAATCACACTTTCCGACATGTCCAATCTGCGAACGTGTCGAACGAAAACGACACAGCGAATTGTAGGAAAGAACGAGCCACGCGTTGCCACAATACCGAAACCTACATCGCCGTTACCTACATCGCCTCTAGCCCGTCTACGGTATATACACTGAGGTATCTGGGCCCTGTCCTATGGGGCTTCGCCGACCCGCCACAGGACAACGCAGAGTCTGTTGTTACTGTCTGGCCGGTTTTCTGGGCGACAGGTGTTGACAAGAATGAGCGCGCCATGTGTTGGGTCGCCATTTGCTACCAAGTGGTGGACGAACAAGCCAGAACACAGTAGACAACTTCCCGGCCCCGAGAGGGGCTGGAGCTCTCCAGAGGTCCACGCTGCGAACAACTCGCTGCGTCTGGGGCTCTGGGTGTGGAGGGCGAGAGCGCCGATCTTAGGATTAGGTCGGGCATGACCTCCTACAGGCGGACCTTGGAGGAAGAATGGAAATTGGCAAAAACAAAATCAACAATAGTCAGACATTGTCGAGCAATCGTGTCCAGACTATTTTCGATTATTTTTTATTTATTCCTCCTGTAGGGGGAAGTTCCCGACTTAATCTTGGGGCCCGCAGTGCTGGGTACGGCCATGGCCGGCGTCGGCGCTCTGCGGGGTCGCTGTCGGCGTCGATCCTCGCAGGCTGCTGAGGGGTGCTTGGGAGCTCTCGGAGGCTGTGGGGGACACTGGGGCGGTTTTCTGAGCAAAGTCGGAACGGAGCCAGGACCGGACAAAACAGACGAGAGTGTTCAAAACAAATCGGAACAACGCAGTCAAGCACTGTTCCGAGACGAAGCCAGGAACGGGACAAACTTGGACCAGCACAAATCGGGGACCTTGTGTATCCGGTGTTTCTGGAGGATGTTTCGGGCGCAGCGGCGTTCCAACGTCCTCCAAACTGCTCCGAGAGCGTTCCGAAAAACGTGCTCTAATGTTTCATCCCAGTCCGAGCCCAGCCTTAGATCGGGCGTGTCCTCCCACAGGCGGATTTGGGACGAAAAATAGAAAATAGTCAGAACATGCAGGATAAAACATCGAAACTGAAAGAAGTTGTCCCTAGACTATACTTGGCTGTTTTTGAATACTCCTCCTGTAGAGGGACATGCCCGACTTACCTCCAAGGATCCATCCCGGGTACGAGCCCAGCCCGAAAGTTCCCGAGGCGGCATGCGCGGCTGTGGGGGACTCGCCGCCCAGCGAGGTCAGCGTCGACGACGAGTGTACCCGGACCTCCGTCGGTCAGTTTTCCCCCATCCGCAGAACCCCGATTCCTCGACCCCGTACCCACGGGCATGTCGGCCTCGAGGACGAAAGTGACTTCGAGGAGGGGAAGGGAGAGGCGGAATGGGAGGAGAGGGGGAAGGAGGGGACGGACCACACAGGATGGTGACGAAGAGGATGCATGCTATCGCCGATGCCGAGATACGCGCGCGCGCGCAACTCCGTGGGTCACTCCGCGCCGCCCAAGGCTGGCTCCGGGACCGAAAATGGTGAAGCCCACCTCAGCCTTGAATTTCTCAAGACGCTGGAGGTCTGGGTCAGCGGGCGCCGCTGGGGCGCGTAATAAGGCTGCGCGGCAAGAATCCAAGGGCCTTGGAAGGCCTGGGTGGCGTTTCTCAGGCGGGGTTGGCCAGCCAAAGTTGCCAAGGATGGGCTGAGGGGGCAAGGATTCACGAGTGACCTTGGAAAGCCGCTCATCCCTGCTGTGCGCGATGACTGTAATCGGGGGGCCTGTTGAGGCCAGCCAGGACTGCCTGAGGGGCCTGTCCGAGCGCAACCCGAAGCCCACCTGGGTGTGCCAACGACGCATCCCCAACGCGTAGGATGCGTCATAGGAAACGGGCGTCATAGAGTCATAGGGTGCCGCACATGCGTTGGTAGTCTTGGTAAAATTGCGATGTACCATCCTGTGCGCTGTGGGTGCATTGGGGATGCGTTTGCGGCCCCCCCTGGGGTACTAGAAGAAACAAACCATAAACATAAACTTTTGGCGCTCCGCGCGGATTTCTTGGATCCGCGCTGGACTCCACTCCCTGGCGCGCGGAGCGCGCCAGGGGCGGCACCGAAGGCGCCGCTAGGGGGCCCCAGCGCGGATCCAAGAACTCCGCGAGGAGCGCCAAGCATTTATGTGTATGGCGTTGCTTCTCCTTCGAGGTACGCACTCTTCATGCCGCACCCGAGTCCCACGTCCGCCGAGACCACGCTCTCGAAGCCATCACTCCTCGCCGCCTTGCGCCAGCTCCGGGCGCAGCAGCAGCCAGACCCCCCCGCCGACCACGGGCACGGCGGCGCAGAATGCGAAGAGTGCCTCCCTCCTCCTCCCTCCTCCCTCCTCCCTCCTCCCTCCTCCCTCCCCCCTCCTCCCTCCCCCCCCTCCTCCCCTCCCTCCTCCTCCTCCCTCCTCCCTCCTCCCTCCTCTCTCCTCCCCCTTCCTCCTCCCTCCTCCCCTCCCCCCCCCTCCCTCCTCCCTCCTCCTCTTCCCTCCAGGAAGGGGTACAGAAAGAATGGGTACGGTGCCCAAGAGCAAATAATGTCTAAAGCCGACAGCGGCCGCTGTTGGGCAGGCGGCCTTCTGCCTCTAATGGGCATCGTCCAGGGCGAAACCGACAGCGAGTTCGGTTCAAAATGAAGCGGAACTGCTGTCAGCATTCGTACGCACATTTTCCGTACCCATTTCGATGATACCGGCTCTTGCCGGCGCGTGCACCATCCCGGAGACGTCTCTCGCCCACGACAGGCGGGAGCCTGCCTTCTCGGAAGAACCCAGAGGCTTCCAGGATGGCTTAAGGGAAGCTGGGAGGGCCTTCGGCAGGGCATCGGCATAAACTCTGGAACTTTCGGAGGTCTTCGTGGATGTTGTAGATCGGCGCTGGGCGCTCTTCTCTGCACTGGGCCGTCGTCGACGTCTCGACGTCGGCGTCTCGACGCCGCCGTTTGAGCGGCGCCTTCGCCGTTCCCACCCCCCCCTGCATCGTGAAAAAATCACGATGCAAAGTTCTTTCGTTCCCTTCTGCCTCCGTGGGCTCTCACGGGGCCTCGGGGCCGTGGGCGAGGGTCTGGACCTCTGGCGATCCACGTCATGAAAAAAAAAAAAAAAAAAAAACACGACTCGACGCCAGGGGGCTGGGCTCCGGGAGCAGTCGTCGCCGCGGCCTTACACGGCGCGGAGATCCTGGCCAGGGCAGCGCTGGCAGGGGGTCCTGGGACGGGTCTTGACCACATCTGGGCCAGGGGTCGGGGGACATGGCGGACAGGGGGGGGGCCTTCAAGAAAGGCAGCGGGCTGCTCAGTGCGGGTCGGCCCCGCCTCTGGGGCTCCTGTGGGGAGGCTCTTCGAAGGCGGGAGGGCCGCTGGGCGGCGGGCTGCCCTCCCTCAGCAGGCCGCCCCCGACCACCCCGCCCTCTCTTTGCGCGCCCCCGCGCCTTCTCCGCCGACGCCCACTCGCCCGGGGGCCCCGCGAAACGCCCGCGCCGGCGGCCGTCCTCCAGCAGCACCGGGGGGAAGAACATCCAAAGAACCTGGGGGGTATACCAAAAGGTACCGATACCTGTCCCATGGGCACACTCTGACCAAAACTGCAACTAAAATCCAGCCTTTTGTGACGAGGGCTCGCCAGGACGAGCAGCGGTATCCTGATCTTTCGTGTTTAAAATATGAGGGCACCTGTGCCTTTGGGGGCGCACCTAAGTTTGGAGGTCGAAGACTTTAGGGGCAGGGGGGTCATGTGTGCGGACATGTCAAGCCGAGCCGCCTAGATTGAGGCTCCCTCATGCAAGAATGTTGTTCCAACGTGGGTATGTTACTATAGAGAGGGTCATGAAACAAACGTTGCAACACACATTATGCGTATATGTGCATATGCGGTCTGGCAAATCGGGGCGGCATCATCGCGACGCCAAGGGGCGTCGCGGACTCGAGCCTTTTGGCCTGGAAGCACGAAACTCACGATTACCGAAATCATGAAGTTCTGCAACCAATCACTGTGTTCTGGGGGGGGCGCACACACGCAGAACACTGTTCAGCTAATCGTTAGCTGGCGCCCGCCGCAAACTCATGCCCCATCCCCCGCCTCGTCTAACTATCCCTTCGCTTTGGCCCCACCCTCCTCATGCCCCTCCGATTGCCCTGGTCCTCATCATGCCCCTCATCCACAGTGCCACCCCCCCATGTGCCAATTCGTGTCGTTACTCGTCGTCCTTTTCCGCCGGATTAGTTCCCCCATCGTCCACATGCTTGCCCTCCTCCCATCCTTTACGCCCCAGTGCACAATGTCCCCAACTTCTGCCCCCCCCCCCCCCCGCCTCCCTCGTCCTCGTGATGCTGACACCGATGGTCCAGCTCCTTCTGGGTTCATTTCTTCCGCTCTCGTCCAGTCCCGTTCATCCTTGGCCCTTTGGCCACCCCTCCTATCGAACCCCTCCCTTCCCACAGCCCACCATCCCCGCCCCCCCGCACCTTTGCATGCCCAGACCACGGCCCCCTCCTGGACCAGCCGGGGGACCCGCGGAAACTCCCGCCCAGTGACCTCTCCACCGAGCGGCGCGCAACAGATACACAGTTGGAGACACGAGTTGTGTATTTCGACCGCGTGCGACGCCCCCTGGGCAAGCCGGAAGACAAACGCGAAAGTTCCCGCCCAGTCAACACCACCCGCGAGGGCCACATTCCAAATACACAGATGGGAACGAAATCTGTGTACATAGATCACACCACGATCTGTGTAAACAGTGAGCCCACACACGAACGAACACAGTTGAAGACACAAACTGCGCACACAGATCACACCTTGATCTGTGTACTTCGAAAAAAAAAGGTAAACGCTCGCCACCTCGAAGGTGCCCCGACTTTGCCAAACCAGAACCGAGGTCGACATGCCCAGCTGGGGGGGAATGCAAATACACACATCCCTGGCCCAGGGCGCCCCCGAGTGAGCTGCAAATGCGCGCTTCCCTGGCCCAGGGCGGCCGCGGTGTAACGCGGCGCCAAATCGGCCCCCAGCGGCCCGAAGACGTCCCAAAAGGCCTCGGGGGACCCCAAAGAACGCCGCACAACACTCCGAAACCACAAGAGGTGTCACATGTCACGGGCCTCTTAACAATCAAGGTTCCAGACGTCGCCATACAGACCACTGCTCTGGCAAGGGGGCGGACCTTGCCGCAGGCACCCATCATTTACATGCTAACGATGCGACTGTGCTCGGCGGCCGTGCGGCCCGCGTTTGGAGTGCGCCCCGAACGCTCGCATTGGCAATCCCCTCTGTTTGGTTGCGCCGCTGTGCTCGGAGATCCAAAAGGCGAATTGTCCCGGGTCCGCATATAGCCATATGTCTGCGATTCGGGTGCGCGCGTTTTCTTCGAGGCACTTCAATCCCGACCCATACTGAATTCACGAATTCCTCCAAACTGTGTAAACACTCTGTCCTCTGTTCCCTCTCCTATACAACTGCCTCATAACAGAGGGGCAGTGAATTCCAAGCAAGAATGGGGACCTGACTGACGCTACTACGTCTTAATTGTGGTATTCGGGCTAAGGGAGCCTCTGATTTTTCCCCCTCTGAATACCATAAAATCCACCGAGGAGACGTGCGCTGTGAGGCTCTGCGTGAACAGCGGCAGGAAGCCGGCCCATGCCGCCTCGGGGGCAACGGCGCCGATGGTGCCGTTCCCGAGCGCGTAGAGCGCCAGGTAGGCGGTGCCGGCGAGTGCGAGGACGGCGTTCCAGCGCGACTCCAGCACGTTGCGGGTGGGCCAATCCTAACAGAACAAAAATGGAGCTGGGACCGACCGACCCAGCATTCCTATAGGCCTACCACGGCATGTTCTTAGAACCCAGAAGCGCTCTAAGGACCGAGCCAGTGATGTTATAACATGGGCCCGACGTGTTGAAACAGGACAGTCTCTGTCAGGAATGTTCTAAGGACAGTTCGCGCAACTCACAAACAAAGGTTCTTAGAACATTCTCTGGTGAGCCTGCGGGGAAGCCAGGACGCTTCGCCACTGTTTGAACAAGACTACACAAGCACAAGCTTTCGGAGGTCCGCGCGGATTTCTTGGATCTGCGCTGAACCCCCTCCTTGGCGCGCGGAGGGCGCTGCGGGGCGGCGCTCGAGGCGCCGTCAAGGGGCTCCAGCGCAAATCCTGGAAATCCGCGCGGACCGCCGCAGGCTGCCGTTTCTGCCTTTTTGCTCTCTCCGAGGTCCAGCTGGCTCGCGGTGACCTCTCCTGGGGAAGCCGACGGGTACCGATGCCGCGACCCCCAAGAAGGCTCCCCAGGGGGGCGGTCTGGCCAAGAGTACGAGGCGAGCCCAGACGTGGCGATGAGGGTATCCAACAAGGTCCAAGCAGGCGGAAACGGGGGAAAGGTGCAGCGGTATCGGTGCCCTTTTCCTCCTGTGATCTCCGGGCTTCCCGCGGTACTCGCGGAGGGCGAGGTAGGGGGACAGGGCGAAAGCGCCAAGAAAGAAGGAGCCGGCGCAGAAGGGGGCCGCGGGGATGGCTCGGCTACACGCACAGAGTGACCCCAGGCAAGAGTGGCTTTCATTGCAAGGCTTTCGGGGGCCGCGGGGGAGAGCAACACACGCGCGACAGCCCAGCCAGTGCTAGCAGGAGGAGGAGGAGGAGGACGAAGGAGGAGGGGGAGGAGGAAAGACGAGGAGGAGTAGGGGGAGGAGGAGGAGGAGGAGGAGGAGAAGGACGAGGAGGAGGAGGAGGAAGCGAGGAGGAGGAGGAGGAAGGAGAGGGGAGGAGGAGGAGGGGGAGGAGGAGGAGGGAGGAGGGAGGAGGAGGAGGAGGAGGAGGAGGAGGAGGAGGAGGAGGGAGGAGGAGGAGGAGGAGGAGGGGGGGGAGGAGAGGAGGAGGAACGGGGGAGGAGGAGGAGGAGGAGGAGGAGGAGGAGGAGGAGGAGGAGGAGGAGGAAGAGGAGGAGGAGGAGGAGGAGAGGAGAGGAGAGGAGAGGAGAGGACCCGCGCTAGAGGCCTCTCTGACAGAGGGTCACTCGTGCATGTAGCCGGCTGGACTGGCCCGCCGCCCCAGGCAGCAGCACGGCGGCGTAGAGGAGGGGCCAGATGCCCAGGCTGTTGAAGATGCCCGCGAAGAGGGGCGGGACCTGCGAGGCCTCGAAGGGGGTGTTGATCACCTGTGGATGACAGGGGACATGTCGACCCCCCCATCCCAGGCTCCGTGGGGGTTTTCGAGCGGACCAGGCATTCGTGGGGCCCCAACCCTGGGATACACGAGGGGGGGGGCGTCCATCATCCACAGGGTTGCGTCCAAATAGGCCCCTGGGGGTGTGTCCCAGGGTCTGTCCCAGGTTTCGTGGGGGGTTCGAGCGGACCAAGCAGTTGGGGTCCCAACCCTGGGATGCACGAGGGAGGGGCTGGGGCGTCCATCCTCGCCAGGGTTGCGTCCGAAAAAGATCCTGGGGGTGTGTCCCAGGGTTCCCCTCCTATTCTTAGCCGCTTCATTTCTCGGCGAACTGTCTGGGGATGGGATAGAAACATCGCCTGCGAGCGGAAGCGCCCGCATCCTGATCGTCGGCTACCGGGAGCATCCCTCAGCGACCGATGAGATCGGTCGCTACCGAGTGTGCTTCCAATGCCTGGATCGACCTCGACCGACTTGTTTTAGGTCGGGCGTGTCCTCCTACAGGCGGATTGTGTACGAAACATAAAAAGTAACTCAACAAATGCTCAAACACTTTAAACACACATTCGAAAAAAAACGAGTCCCCATGATATGTCTGTACTGCTTTTTGAATTGTAGAGGGGCGTGCCCGACCTGAACCGAGTGTGCTTCCAATGCCTGGATCGACCTCGGCCGACTTGTTTCAATATCGGTCGCGACCGATCGGTCGCGCCCGACTGGTCGCGATCGGCCGCGGTCGGTCGCGAACGGTCTCGCGGGCGGTCGCGCACGGCCGCGACTGGCCGCGATCGGGCAAAGCCCCGCCCCGCCCCGCGTCGTGAAGATACCCACAGCCGGCGCAGACCCCCTCGCCCCTCGCGCCGTGGAGAATACCTCCTGCTTCCTCCTCCTCCTCCTCCTCCGCTTCCTCCGCCTCCTCCTGCTCCTCCTCCGCTTCCTCCTCATCCGCCTCCTCCTCCTCCTCCTCCTCCTCCGCTTCCTCCGCCTCCTTCTCCTCCTCCTCCTCCTCCTCCTCCTCCTCCTCCTCCGCTTCCTCCTCATCCTCCTCCTCCTCCTCCTCCTCCTCCTCCTCCTCTCCCTCTCCTCCTCGGCGGGAGGCTTTCGGCCATGCTCGGTCTCGTGGGGCATTTGCCGGGCCTCGGGGTCGTCAAGAAACGGTGCAGGATGAAGGGCGGGTCCCTGGGAAGGGGTCCAGACCACTGGATGTCCACTCTGTATGAAAAAAAATTCACCACGTGGGGGGCCTGGGGAGGTTGGCGCTGGGACGTCGACACCTGCATGACCAGCGCCTGGTCCGCGACGCTGGCCTCTGGGTCGCGCCCCGGGGCCTGCGTGAAGGCGTAGGCGATCAGCAGGGCCCAGGTGGCGGCGACGGCGGCGGTTCGGCCCAACCACCTCGACGGGCCGAAGAAGCCCTGCTCAAGAAGAACAGAAAACGGCACAATCATAAACTCTCAGAGGTCCGAGCAGATTCACCCCCATCCCTGGAGCGCGGAGCGCGCCAGGGGCGCTGCTAGAGGCGCCACCAGGGGGCACAACGCTGATCCAAGAAATCCGCGCGGACCTTCACAGAGATCGACTGACCCAGGCCAATGCAAACACAAGTCAGTCGGGCCTTGCAGGATCCTGCAAGATCCTGCAGGATCCAGCGCGCTGGCCCAGGTCAATGCAACCCTGGCTTTGCAGGCTCCTGCAAGATCTGGCGCTCTGGCTGACCCCTGTCTGCATCGGCCCCCGTCTCTACCAGGCCGCCTCCGAGAATGTATGCGCATGCCGTGGTCTCTTCTTCGATGCTCGCCCTGCGCCGGCTCAGGGCCCCCGGCCGCCCCGCCGAACGCCCTCGACAGCTGCGCCGCCGAGCCGGCGGCGGCGACGCCCACGACGGCGAGGATGAGCGGCGCCGCCGCGGCGGCGGCGTCCGCCGCGGCGGCCACGGCAGCGGCGTCTGCGGACTGCCCTGGGCTCCAGGCGGCGCGCGCCGCCCGCGCGCGCGGTGGCCCGCGGAGGCCGCTGGGGCGGAGCGCCGACCGCGGGGCCTGGAGGATTTGTGTTTTCTTGTTTTTTGACTTTGTTTTTTTTGTTTCTTTTTTTTTTAAAAAAAAAAAATAGAATTATATTCATAACTGAATTATTTGCAACACTATTGCTGTGTGTTTGTGTTGTTCGGACCTCGGGCACGCCAGCGATCATGCAGCCTCCAGGGCGCAAAGCAGCCGCGGTCTGACATCGGTGAGGCTCAAAGCCGAGAGATGGGCAAGGGAAAGAGGGGCAGAACGGACAAGCCTGGAGGAAGAAGCAGCCGCAACGGTGCAGCAGCTGTCGGAGCGCCGCGCGCATTCCTCGGATCGACGCGGGGCCCCCCCTCCCTGGCGCGCGGAGCGCGCCGCCGGGGGGGCGTCGCGCGGATCCGAGGGCTACGCGCGGAGCTCTGGAAAGTGCTGCGGTCCTGTTATTGAGAAACGGCCGACTGGTGTGACACCATCCCTGGAAGTGCGGGTGGAAAGGGACTCCGTGGCCCTGAGTCCGCTTGAACTCTCACGTCTACAGGCGAATTACCCGAGGCGTACACAAACCCTCCTCCACGCTGGGCGAATATTTTTTTATGAACGCTCCATTCTCTTTTTTCCCCAAAAAAACACAGAACAATGGCGCCAGAGATGCACGACCTGCGCGGCCCTGTACTCCGCCGTGCCCCCCACTAGCCCAAGAAAGTGGCGACAATTGCGCAACTCGCAGCCCCCAGGGGAGCCGCGAGGTCTCAGATTGAGCCACGCTGCCCTGGACCTCCGTCGTGCCTCCCAGGAGCCCATGAGAGTGGGGACAGCTGCGCAGTACGCAACCCTCGACGGAGCCGCGAGGTCTCGACGTGTTCCCCGCTGCCCTCACCTTCGCCGTGCCTCCCAATGTGCACGAGTCTGAGGGAACTCCTCCTACAAAACAATTACCCCGAGGCGTACCCAGACCCCTCCTCCACGCTAGGCGAATATTTGTACGAACGCGCCGTAAGAAAAAAACACGTCGCCAGATATCCCCCGAAAGTGGCGACAGTTGCGCAGCTCGCAGCCCCCAGTAGAAAGGGTACACGAGGAGGAGGAAAGGGGAGCGAGTGGAGCGAGGAAGGGGAAGAGAGGGGGAAGAGTGACTGCATGGTAGAGTGGCTGAGAGGTTTACGAAGAGTGGCTGCAAGAGAAAGGGGGAAGCAGTGCTCTGTTCTAGAAGCAGAACCCACGGGAAGGTCACGGAGTGCTGCTGATCCCCCCCATCTGGTGCGCCTTGTGTTCTTTACTTGGGTGCACCTCGTGGGGCTCGCACCTGGTCTTTAACAAAGTGGGGGAGGTCTTGCGCCTCAGATTGGGCCACTGGCCCTTGGTTTATAACAACAGCGTCTCCTGCCTGACACGTCCCCACAATTGGTTCGAAATCACGCTCCCGCGGGGAACTGTATGACAATGTATGCAGGAATCGCGCTCTCGCGTGGGATATCCTCGCGATTTAATGAAACGCCGCGCCTTTCGACACTCGGGAACCTCCCGCCCTGGACATCTTCACGATTTACTCGCACTATCGCTCGAGACCTCCTCGAGGTTCATGCAAGACTGACGCTTGAACGACCCGCCGGCTCGACCCGGCCGTCCGGGCCCGTCCGCCCAACCCCGACCGTTCGGGTCCGCCCGACCGACCCGCCCGTCTGGTTCCATCACTGGTTTCCCCGCTCCTCACTGCCCTCCTGCAAATCTCTCTCGTGCTCCATGCTTCTCCCTCCCCCCATTGCCCTTCCATCCCTCCCTCCCTTCCCCTGTTTTTGGGGCTGCGCAAACTCCACGTGGCAGGTACGGAAAAAATATCCCCAACGGGGGCGCGACCAGAGACGGAGAGGGCGGGTACCGAGGGTCTGGGACATACATGTAGAGTGGCACGCGTGCAGATCAAAAGAACAGTCCTCAAATGAATGTTGTTTGTTGTTGCCGTCTTCCCCCCCTCCCCCCGCATCCCCCGACGACCCCCCCGCGAACCACCCCGAGCCCGCCCCTTCACTCTTCTCCGCAACTGTCGGGGGTTGCTAATGGTGCCCCTGGCCAAAGGTGCCCCCAGCTTATCGCCACATTCTGGAGCCCCTTGGGCCCTCTTGGCCTCGTGCGGAGCAGGAGAGCCCCAAATCGAATCGATAAGTCGGATCGGCAGTCGAAATTGATCGGATCCGCGGAAATCAGCAATCAGGCTAATAGGCCTCCGTTGAGAAATCGAAGCCCGAATCGGAATCCCAAATCGAATCGAATCGGAAACGGAAGCCAGCGAGATCGAATCGAATCGACTCGGAGGAATCGAAACGAGCCCTGGAGAGGGTGCTCTGGAGACCGTGGGGGCCGCCTTGGAAATCCTGGAGGCACCTTGGGCCAGGGCACCTTGGGCCAGGGCACCTTGGGCCAGGGCACTTCGGCGGTGGACAAACCTCCCTCTAGTAAACCACCCTTTAATGAAAACGGCCTGGGACCGAAACCGACGGACCTGGAACCGCAAAAATGACGGCCGCGACGCCTTCTCGCGAACCGACAACGGCCATTCAGCTCATCGACGTGGAGGTCTATCAGCCTCCGGGCACTTCTAGAATCACCCGAAATTGCGGGGTGCTGCGCAGTTGATGTCCTCCCTCGAGGGCCGCGGGCGCGCCGCTCGCCAGGAAGCAGCCGCCGAGCCCCTGCGAGGCGCCGGCGGCCGCGGCACATGCGGCCAGCGCCCAGCGGCGCCCGCGGGCCGCGGGCGCGTCCGGCATCGCCACACGCGTTGCAGGCGCGCGCGCGCGCGGGCGGGCGGCCGACGCTCGGGGGGCCCTGGAGTGCGACTCGGACGGGTGCCAAGTCGGGGTGGGGCGAGACCCAGACAGGGTCGCGTCGTCACAAAGAGAAGCAGGACGGGAGGTTTTTGCGAGTTTGGGGCCTCGGGGAGCCCTCGCCGGGCCTCGGGACCGTCAAGCAAAAAACCGACTCGGGATGAAAAGGCGGCCCTGCGAGAAGGGTCGGGACTTCCAGGGGCCGCGCATGGACAAAACCGGGACGTCGCACGTCGAGGCAGAGCATCAATGTCACGCCGCCGCGGGGGGACCAAGGCCCCGTCGACGTGTTGCTGTCGATTTGCGCTGTCTTTCTCCTCGGGCGAAGAACGAGGAAGCAACACGCCGAGGGGGCCCTTGGGCCCCCCGCGGCGGCGTGACGTTGATACTCTCCCCCCCGGCCACTGGGGGGTGACCCACATGGGGATGAAGAAAAGCGGTCTAAAGAGGCCCTTTAGGACCCCCTTTGGGGCCAGCCGGTGCCCAAAAGGGGCCCAAAGGGACCCTTCAGAGCGCCTTCCTTCACCCCCAAGGTGGGTTACCTCCCATTGCCACCCCCCCGCACGACAGGGCGGCTTTCGTGTACCAGTTCCGCCCGGGTGCTGCTAGAAGTGCCCCTGGCCCAAGGTGCCCCCAAGGTATACGAGGAGGCCCCCACGGTCTCCAGAGCACCCCTCACAAGGCCCAGAGGGCCCCAGGGACTCCAAAATGGAGCAATAAGCTGGGGGCATCTTGGGCCAGGGGCACCATTAGCATCTCTGTCCGTCTTGTACTTTAAATGTTGCCGGTTCTGGCGCAACTCTGTATTTCCTGGTTCTGTATCCGTCGTTGTTCTGGTCCCCGTCCCGGTCCCCATCCCACAGACGATATGTCACTGTGTCTGGAGCTTTCTTGTATAAACACAAAGCATTTTCAAACCCCAGAAACATCAACAAAGAAGTGCAAATAAGAAACGGCCCTGCCGCTTCCAGGGCCCACTATGAAAGCCCGCGGAGCGGTCGCCGCTGCCGGTGGCTCAGTGACTGAGCCAGGCGAGCGACACAGAGAGGCGGTTCCTTCTTGGCTGACCGCGGGGGTTGCTATGAGGGTAGGGGGTTTCAAATGGGGAAGAGAGGGCGCTCGCGCGCGACCTTGCGCGCGAAGCGCATACGCGCGAATGTCCTCGCAATCGACCTCGTGTTATTCAGTCGCTCGGGTGGGCTTCCTGCAGAGCCTGGACTTCAAGGACGCCGCGGTGTTGGCTCAAGTCTGGATCTCGGCCCCGGAAACAACGTTTCTAAGCTCCGGCACCCTGGAAGACCGGGCCAGCCCCCAGGAAGGAGTCGAGACTTCTGGGGAAATCGCGAGGACATCGTCATATTGAAAGGTACGACGTCGGGGGTCTCGGGATCCCGAGGTCGAGGAGGGAGAAATCGAGGCGGAGAGTGACGAAGGACTAAGGGGGCTAGATGGAAGTGAAAGGCAAATGAAAGGGATGGAAAGGGAGAGGGTACTGGAGTCGACTCGCCGAGGCGTGGAGGACGAAGGAGAGCTGGGAAGGGATAGGCGCGGATAGATAGATGAGTCAAAAGCAAAACACACGCATGCACTAGACTTGTCATTTGCAACATGGTGCAACTAAACTATAATCCGTCATCGCACTTGCAGCGTCAAACGCGCGTGCGTGAGGACCTCTTGCTCGTATTGTATTGCTGCGGGGGCCCCAAGCATCGCACAGCCAATAGACCTCGATGTTGGCGAAATGCTCCTCTCGAATACCGGGAGCTCGAGAAAAACACAGTCGCAGCGACGATGGCTCCAATTACCCGCAAATCGGACCGCACATGTTGTGCGTGACGGCAACGCGTGAGCCAAAAACCTGTGATGTGTGTGTGTGTGTGATCACCGCGTGTGGATTCCCTTTTGCGTGTGGCACCCAACGTGTAGAACTCGAAGTGTGGGGAACCATGCAAGTTGTCTAGACGCCTACTTTTGGTGAGAACATGTGGGGAACCGACGCGTGTCACCCAAAGTGTGTCAAGCCCGATGGGTTCGGAACCCCGCGCACGTATGGTCGTGCATCTGACGAAACCAACGCATGCGAAGTCCGACTTGTCCGATCTGTCTGTATATGTTTGGCTCCCCGTGTGTGTGTGTGTGTGTGTGTGTGTGTGTGTGTATGTGTGTGTGTGCGTGCGGATCCTCGTGTGCTTGACCCGTTCCCTTCCACCCTCTCCCTCAGCTGTGCTCCATGCCCTGGCTCTGCGGGTGCTACCAAGCCTGTTTGGAAGCTGCGATCGCTCGTAGGTTCACCCTTGAAGTTCAATTCGCCATGCTGTATTTTCTCCGCCTGTGCCCTGAAAGACCCCGCCCCGTGGGCATGCAAACCTGATCTGATCTGACCTGTGAAACTCCGACATTACCCCATGCATGTGTGGAACACCACGATAAGAGGAACCACAACGGGCATCAACATGAACGTTCTGAGGTCCGCACGCATTTGTTGGATCGGCGACGGACCTCCCTCGAATGGCGCGTGGAGCGCGCCAGGGGCGGCGCCAGAGGCGCCGCCAGGGGGAGCCCAGCGCAGCCCTAAGAACTCCGCGAGCAGCTCCGAAAATCGATGTCCCTGCAGTTCTTCTTCCGATGATGGCCCATGGTGGACCACAGCGAGTGTGGAAGCCCATGCGACTGGGTGTCGTACGCGTTGGGCTGCGCAGCGGCCCGCGCGTGCGGCTCCGCGACCGCGCGGTGGGCTGCCTGCGCGGCGGCCTGCGCGGACAGCTCCCCTGTGCCGTGGCGGCCACGCTCGGACCCCAGCAGGCAGGGCCGCCCCCTCAGAACGCGAGACTAGAGGCCTCCTGGGTGGGTTTCGAGTAGATGGGGTCGGAGGATCTCACCGCATCTGTGATGCATCGGCGATGCATCGGCGACGTCGGCAATACACATCGGCGACGACGACGTGTAGCAAATCGCGCTCCGCATCGAGCCGCATCGGCGATGCATCGGCGATGCGGCGCGATCCTCCGACCCCATCTACTCCGACACCACCTGTGAGGCCTAGAGAAAAAGAGTAGTCATAATAATCATAACAAGAAGAAGACGTCGTCGTCGGCGGCGGCTGCGGCGGCGGCCGTTGGCTGCCGTCGGCGGGCCTGCTGGCGCGAGCGAGCCGCGGCCGCCCGCGCCGGCGCCACCGCCCGTGGACGCCGCTGGGGCACTGCTGAGGGCGGCGTCCTCCCGCGCCGCGCCGTCGCCGTCGCCGTGCGTCAAGCCCAGATTTAGGTCGGGCATGCCCCCCAACAGGCCGATTCTGGAGGATCATTCCTCTTCCTATATTTTTACAAGCCCGTGCGGGGGACCCCCCCCCCCCAAAACCGGACTCCCGGGATCTGGGGCTTTGGGACCCTCCGGACGGGCCTCGAAGCGGCCCCCAGGCCTCGCAGGGCGTTTTGCCAAGCCTTCCCAGCACACCTAGGGCGATCAGGGGGGTCATCGGAGACGTCCCAGAGACCCACAAGACAGCACAAGAGCGCTCCAAGAGTGACCGACGTGACCTCACGATGGCCCGAGAGGCCTCCAGGACGGCCCCAAACAGGCCTCCAAGAGCACTCCCAAGAAGGCCCCCCGAGGCACAAATAATTAATTCTCTTGCACAGGGTGTCTAGAGCTCCGACCACTTTATTTCGGCACCGCACCCCCCCCCCCCCCATCATCATCATCATCATCATCATCATCATCATCATCATCATCATCATCATCATCATCATCATCATCATCATCATCATCATCATCATCATCATCATCATCATCATCATCATCATCATCATCATCATCATCATCATCATCATCATCATCATCATCATCATCATCACCATCATCCTCACCATCATCACCATCATCATCATCATCATCATCATCATCCACATCATCATCATCATGCGCCCCCTCCGTCTCAGCGCCCTCCCGCGGCTCCAGCGCCCGCCCAGTGCCCCCTCCGCCCCGACCACTTTATTTCGGCACCGCCCCCCCCCCCCGCTCCGCCCCCTCCCCCGCGCCGTCTCAGCGCCCCCCCGCGGCTCCAGCGCCCGCCCAGTGCCCCCTCCGCCTCGACCACTTTATTTCGGCACCGCACCCCCCTCCCCGCTCCGCCCCCTCCCCCGCGCCGTCTCAGCGCCCCCGCGGCTCCAGCGCCCGCCCAGTGCCCTCCGCCCCGACCACTTTATTTCGGCACCGCACCCCCCCTCCCGCTCCGCCCCCTCCCCGCGCCTCTCAGCGCCCCCGCCCGGCTCCAGCGCCCGCCCAGTGCCCCCTCCGCCCCGACCACTTTATTTCGGCACCGCACCCCCCCCCCGCTCCGCCCCCTCCCCCGCGCCGTCTCAGCGCCCCCCCGCGGCTCCAGCGCCCGCCCAGTGCCCCCTCCGCCCCGACCACTTTATTTCGGCACCGCACCCCCCCCCGCTCCGCCCCCTCCCCCGCGCCGTCTCAGCGCCCCCCCGCGGCTCCAGCGCCCGCCCAGTGCCCCCTCCGCCCCGACCATTTTATTTCGGCACCGCACCCCCCCCCCGCTCCGCCCCCTCCCCCGCGCCGTCTCAGCGCCCCCCCGCGGCTCCAGCGCCCGCCCAGTGCCCCCTCCGCCCCGACCACTTTATTTCGGCACCGCACCCCCCCCGCTCCGCCCCCTCCCCCGCGCCGTCTCAGCGCCCCCCCGCGGCTTCGGCACCGCACCCCTCCCCCTCCGCCCCCTCCCCCGCGCCGTCTCAGCGCCCCCCCGCGGGCGCCCGCCCAGTGCCCCCTCCGCCCGACCACCGGCACCGCACCCCCCTCCCCGCTCCGCGCGCGTCTAGCTCAGCCCGCCCCAGTGCCCCCTCCGCCCCGACCACTTTATTTCGGCACCGCCCCCCCCCCCCCCGCCCCCCCCCGCGCCGTCTCAGCGCCCCCCCCGCGGCTCCAGCGCCCGCCCAGTGCCCCCTCCGCCCGACCACTTTATTTCGGCACCGCACCCCCCCCCGCTCCGCCCCCTCCCCCGCGCCGTCTCAGCGCCCCCCCGCGGCTCCAGCGCCCGCCCAGTGCCCCCTCCGCCTCGACCACTTTATTTCGGCACCGCACCCCCCCCCGCTCCGCCCCCTCCCCCGCGCCGTCTCAGCGCCCCCCCGCGGCTCCAGCGCCCGCCCAGCGCCCCCTCCGCCCCGACCACTTTATTTCGGCACCGCACCCCCTCCCCCGCTCCGCCCCCTCCCCCGCGCCGTCTCAGCGCCCCCCTCGCGGCTCCAGCGCCCGCCCGTGCCCCCTCCGCCCCGACCGTTTATTTCGGCACCGCACCCCCCCTCCCGCTCCGCCTCCTCACCCGCGCCGTCTCAGCGCCCCCCGCGGTTCCAGCGCCCGCCCAGTGCCCCCTCCGCCCCGACCAGTTTATTTCGGCACCGCCCCCCCCCCCGTTCCGCCGCCTCCCCCGCACCGTCTGAGCGCTCCCCCGCGGCTCGAGCGCCCGCCCAGTGCCCCCTCCGCCCCGACCACTTTATCTGGGGTGGCTTTAGCGGGTGTGGATGGGTATGGATGGTCTTCGCCGCGCCAGGTTAACCATTATAGCTCAGACAAAGGAGAAAAACTGCATGATGCGGGATGGAGAATGAATGGCTTGGTACAAGGGTTTGGGACTAAAGGGGTATGGGGGGATAGAACACGCGACGAAAAGTTGTTACATGTTTGTGTATATATACATATACACATATACGTGAATATGTATGTATGCATGCGGTCGCGTGGGGCCCTCGGACGGCTCTGGCCAATTTTGATGCGGTATTGTTGTGGTCCGTGGCTGTCTTTGAACCTTCCTCGGGGACCTCTCGGAAGGGCCATATTGGGCCATCGCGCGGGCATCTTGGGTGTTCCTGAGGGTCGGCGCGGGCCAATGACAACGTCTTTGGGCCCACGTTGGCGGCGCCGTAGTAAAATTGCGGGCGCGCAGAAGCCGAACAAGTGTTTCCATCGTTCTCGTTCCCATGCCTTCCCCCTTCCCCCGCGCCCCGTCGCAGAGCCATCGTAAGTTTCTGGGGGGCACCTTGGGTCCATGGTGGCACGTGCTGCGGGCCATGAAAGCCTCTGCCTGCCCCTCGCCCTCCTCATTCTCTCCTCGATCCCCCCGCCCTTTGCAGTCTGATTGTGCAAGGGCCACAGCGCGCGTGCCACTTGTTTTCTGTTGGTTTTAACCGAAGTTTGGGGTTATCCTCTTTTCGTCTTCCCGACGCTCCAAGCCTGCGGTCTTCTGGGCGTCAGAAGCCGCCTGGGAGGCTCTAAAAACGCCCCACAACCATCCGAAAGGGCTTCCAGGCAGTCCAAGAGAGCCCCTAAACGGCACAACACGGGTCCAAGATGGCCCTCAGAGAGCCCCGTGGCGGCCCCAAGATGGCCCAAAGACACCCTCCGAAGCATTCCAAATCGTGACCTGGTCGTTCAGGGAGACCGCGGTTGGAGGCAGGGTGGCCCGAGGAAGCCCCCAGAGGCACCCAGAATACGCCCAGGAGGCCTCCATAAGGCCTTAAGAAAGCCTGAAGCAGCTTTTGTGAGGCCCCCAGAGGCTCTCCCAGGAGAAGCCTTCGCAACAAAAAAGCTGGGTAGGATGGAGAGAATGCGCAAGGTATGGCGAACATGAGGAAACATAAGCATGGAGGAGGGATAGCGAATAATATTAGTATAGCGGCGACTCCGGAAAAAGGCAACAAAGAGTTATCGCTAAATTGTCGGATAGACCTTCCTGCGATTCCGCCAGCATACCAAACTTCGAGGACCAAGGTGCATGGCGCGAAGCACCACAGCAGTCCTGTGTATGTATACGAATATGCATGCATGCATATATATATATATATATATATATACATGTGTTAACCAAACAAAAAGCACACGTATTCATAACTATTCGAACATACTCAACTAATCGTCCCCATACTTTTTTGGTTATTGCGGATTAATCCTCCTGTAGAGAACATGCGCGACATAAACCAGTAAAAGAAACAACGGCATAAGCATACACTTTTGTCGCTCCGCGCGGATTTCTTGACTTGGATCTGCTCTGGATCCCCCCCCTGGCGCGCGGAGTGCGCCAGGGGCGACGCTGGAGGCGTTTCTTCTTCTTCGAGCGTCGTGGAACAAATCGCGACGGAAAGTCCCTCACCAGTCAAGGCCATGATATTACACTAATGAGCGAGGTTAGGCCAGCCATGACCCACCTTCACATCCACTCAGGGAACACCGTATCCCCTTAGCAACCACCGCGGTAAGCCAAACTCGCGTTGTGGAAGAAATCGCGACGGAAAGCTCTTCTCCGTTTTCTGCCTCTGGGGCCCTCGACGGATCTCGGGGCCGTCAGAGCACGACTCGGGACGAAACGCCGGGCCCTGGAGAGTGGCCCGGGTCTCTGGGCCCACGTCGTGCAACAAAAAAGGCACGACGTCCAGGGTCTGGGCAGGCGGCGAGTCGTCGACACGTCAATGATGGGACAGGGTCGTCGACGCCGTGCGTCGCCGTGGCCGTCGTCGAGGGCAATCGACGATTGAGAGTCGAGGTGCAATCTGTATGTGTGTATATACATATATATATATATATATATATATATGCTAGCCCCCCCCCCACTAAGATCCACCTACAAGCAAACTCGTTTGGTCGGCTCTGATGCCGCCGATTCTTTCTCAGGTATCCTTGTCATGTCTTTGCATCGTCCTCATCCCCATCATCCTCGCCCTTCTGATTGTCACTCCCTCAATCTCTAAATTAGGTTGAACTGGAGCGTGTGCAGACCACGCAGTGTTTCCGATCCAATCCATTACATGAGTGCTGCTGTTGCGGCTCAGGTGTGCAGCTCCGGTACCCCCCCTCCGATTGAACTGACAGCATGGGGGTTCCAGAATACGCTTCGGACGCGCACAACAAGAAGATAATCCGCAACCGAGAACAAGGAGTATGAGGAGCGGGGTTATTGGTACAAAAACGAATACCAGGAGACCAAAAAGGATTGCAACAAGCTCGAGCGGCAGAAGCAGAACATTGAGAGCGAACACAAGAACTTCGTCGACAAACACGGGCGGCTGGTGGCCACCTTCGCCGACCGTGTGTCTCCCAAATTCTTTAAGACCATTTGCAAATGGGAGCAGAAGCCTCCCAAGCGCCTGCCGTGGTGCGCTGTCGGCATGTGCAAGTGCACACTAGGCAAACGAGAGCAATTCAATTTGAATTCGGTGCCA